TTTTTCTTGGTCTTCCAGATGTTGCTTTAACTTCCACTGTTCCTGATGACTGCCATTTCTTAATTACATTCCGAACAGAGGATATTGACATCTGAAAACGCTTTGCTATCTTCTTATAGCCTTCTCCAGCTTTGTGAGCGTCAACTATTTTCAGTTTCAGTTTTCTAGACAACTGCTTAGAAGAACCCATGGTGCTGATTGTTGGGGCAAGGTCAGATGAGTCTGGGCATTTAAAACCTTTGAGACTGACATCACCTGATCTTCCCAGACGATGATTGAGAACAATCCATGACACTGGCAGGTCTCAGCTTTGCAAAGGGGGCAGTGCATGCTATAAATTCTGCAGGGTGCCCAAACTTTTGCAGACGCCATTTTTTTGTTTTCTGTTATTTTGAAAGTGTAAATGATGGAAATAAAATCTAACTTTTTTGACATATTATAAGAATGTCTAATCTGTAATTTGATGCCTTTTGGAGATTTTTCCATCTTTCCTTGGCTTCTTTATGCACATTAATACAAAATGTTTAGCTGGGGTGCCCAAACTTTCGATCCCCACTGTACTACTTTTGCTAGGTGACTGACTTATGCAACCACTCTGCCATGCTATTGGCACGGTGGGTGTACAATGCTGCTAACCACAGGTTTTTAACTTAGAACTGGTATTCTCTGAAGATGTCCCGTGCTGGATTACCACATGTTCTGCCATCCAGTTGAATTTATGTTTATGTTTGCTTGTTGCATATTTCTTTTACAGGTTCCAAGACATTCATCAGTATTGGACTTATTGAATATATATATATTTTGAAGTTATGAAATGTAAAGATTTCAGACGGGGAGTGTTGTGTTACACTGTTTGATTTATTATTATTTCTCTGTGACCATCACTTGTTTATCATTGCTCTGTGTCTTTAAGCTGTCTTCTCCTGTCTAAGCTGAGCTCTTTCTCTTACCGTACTTGCGTATATCCCTCCCCCTGCCTCTCTCTGTAATCATTCCACTGTATTCTGTCTTCCTGAATCTACGAGGCTTACAACGTTAAAGTTACTCTACCTATGATTATCCTCCATTAAGCGAAACATTTGAATGGGTTTCCTCATCTGACTTCCTCAACATGTGAGTTTACTCATTGAGTTAAACTCTGTGACCCGATGCAAGAGATAGATTCAACACCATGTTGTTTAGCTGTATACATTGCTGGAGATAAAGTTTATGGTCCTGTAGTTGAGTCAGAACAGAATCAATCACTTAAGTCTAACACAACTCTACATTATATTATACCTTGTACACTATACATTGTGCCACTCTAAAATTTTTCAAAATTGCCCTATATGTGAAAGGGATCATGTAGATCTCATTCCATACAAGCAAGGAAGCTGATACTTCAACACTGGAAATCTTTGGATCCAGTTACAGAATGGGCATAGCATGTGAATATAACCTTAGCATTGGAGAATTACATATTTCAGCATAGGGTTATGGTGATAAATTTGAAAAGATTTGGAGCCAATGAATTGATACTCTGGACATGTGCTCACTGAACGTCAAAAGCAAACCTTATTTAGTGTATGTCTGTATACAATGTCATCATTCCTAATGCAACGTGGGGGGAGGTGGATTATGTTGTTCTGTACTGTATGGCATTCTGGGTGGGTTGTGAGATGGTAAAGGCTGACTATGATCTAGTAGAGGCCAATTCTTAATCTACCATTTGTGCATTACATTTGTATTGTACCATCAATCGTATGATGCGGGATGATGTAAGCCATGTTGTGAGCTGCTTTGTAATGTGATTCTGTCAGATGGATCTTTGTTAAGGCTTTCCTAATTTAAAAATCAAAAACTTAATCTTTAAATGTTTACTGCATTCTCCAAGGAATTTGCACAGTCAAATGAAAACAAATAAAATGAAAATACATATAGCGATATTAAATCCAAAAGCAAACATTTATTATAATGCAGCTTACCAATTCTTAGATGTGGTGGCTACATTAATTTTCTTTTTATAAGGGTTTCTTTCCTTTATTTTCATATGGGGATCTGACCAGTAAGTAACTTTTCAACAGAACAAGGCAAGTTATAGTGTTGAGGCAAACCATTTATCACTGACAGTGGTGCTTACAATGGTCAGTCTTTTTTGCTTTGCTTGTAAAACCTTTATTCCAAAATAAATAAAACTGTTGTTGTAACTGGGGGTTGTTCAGCCCATCATTACTCCTGAACACCTCACAGAGCATGGCAGTAAAAGTGGCACTGAAGCTCCACAGAATACACAAGGAAAACTATGCTTAGCATGTGACAGCCCAACACTACTCTGGATAAATGTATGAATAAAAGTTGCTGTTATAGACTTCTTTCGTACATTAAAGTATATTTAAACCAAAACCTTTTTTGGTTTGTTTTTGCCACATTTTTCCCACGAGGGGGATTTCCATTCACTCCATGTCCTGTAGAGACTATAGGCTTTAGTCCTATGCATAAAGTTTAAAACATTTTAGGTCCCCATGAATATTTGGTCACCCTAATTAGTTTTATTACCTCTTTTGTTGCATTTTTATTTGTTTATTTTTTTATATTTATTTATTGTTTTTTACTGTTCATATGTGAACTTTTTACATTTGTGTTTGTTCTTTTAGGGATTTTTTTCCTTGCACCAATGTAATATTGTAGTATGTGTTACCAGTAAATCTACCAAGCATAGGAGGAGGATACTGTCCGCCTCTCCCCAATTATTGAAATTTCACATATTTGGTTCATTAATGGAAACCTGTCTCTATTTAGCACAATCACTAATTCGCACTAATCTAACCACATTACAACATCTCACCCATCCAGTTTGGTTTTCCTGGCCCAAATCATAGGACTGGTGTAAAGCCGCTGTTTTTTCTACCAGGAACCAGTCCCTGTACAAACAGATGTGCAAGCATCATTTGGCTGAGCTCAGGAAGGGGGGGGGGATTTTGGCATCCTCACCTTGTGTGCCAGAGAATATTGTCTCACCACTAATCACAAAACATGCCTAGCTGATATATAAATTCTTTTGGGGGTAAAAAAGTTCACAACTGACATGTATCTGAACTGCATTTAGCTATTTGCAGAAATTCCGCTTCAATGCAGACACTGACAGACTTCAATGCAGACAGACTCTAAGAAAATACCTTATGTTACTTTTTTCTAATTAGTTCTAATAATTGCGCCAAATGATGATTGTGCTGTAGGTGGCAGATTCTCTTTAACCTAATTTCTATCACACTATTAAGATTTGAACATCTATTACATAGGTTTTAAAAAAAAAACATTCAATGGCATTATATTTAGTCACCCTTAAAACATGCTAAACACATGAAATTGGTTTAGGAAATTTTTTTGCAGCAAGGAATTGAATTTATATTGTTTCAGAATGGACAGAAAGCACTGGACAGATTTCACAAGATCGCTGCTAATAATTTTTTTTGAGTAAGTAATTAAGCTGAAAGAATATGTCTGTAGCGTGAGAGCCTGGTGATCAGGACTTGTATCTGTTAGCACGCACACTTACTCGACTTCTGCCTTGTAAATGATGCATTTCAAAAGCAAGGAAGGGTTGCGTAAGTAATTTTATTTTTCATGATTCAAGCCCTAAAGGTCTTGAACTGTCAGATTTATTGTCCTTCCCATTTTATGACTTTTAGTTGTATTTATTCTTTTATGTTTTCCATCAGTCGTGTTTACGTAGAATCTAGTCTGTCGACTTTCATAGAGTTAAATCATTTCTTTAAGATTTAGCTTCCATTCAGCATCAATCCCTTAAGACATATCATTAACATGAATCATTTTGGAAAGTGTTTGGTTCGGTATGAACTTCTGGTTGAATCAATCACTCACTGTGATGGAATGAAGTGATGACCTTCACAGCATCTTTGTACCACGACAGAGAATCCAAGGATGGACATTTTTTTTTTGCTCTTGTATCAAATGGTCTACTTCCTTACACTTTTAGATTAATGATCATAAACCAAAGATGTACACAGTTCTTCATTACAAAATATAGTGGCCAACATACTACTACAGAAAATAATAATAAATATAAGTTACAACAGTCAATATTTTTGGGACATTACCAAAATTCACTTTAGTTTTTATTATGTTCACTTTATAAATTATGCATTTTTTTCAGCCAATTGTATACTTATTATCAGTGGTGTTGCTGCCATCATAGCACACACTATGGGGCCCAAGGATTGGTGCCATGGTAAGAGCAGAACTTGTGGGAGAAAGCAATTTAAGAATACTTGCCCTATTTTCACATCCTTTAATTGCTATCAAAGAAGTCTTGACCTGGACTTGAGAAGAGTGGACTCTGTAGACTGATCCTCTTCGGCATTTCATTGTATTTCTGGCAGACATGCAGCGTGACAGGAGTGGTGGAACCAATCTCTATAAGGCAACTGAACTAGAGAAGAGTTTGAGGCCAGACTACAGTATGTAACAATGTATTGTAACACACCAGCACCACACTTGGCTAGAACTCTTTTAAGATAATTTGATACTGGGCATTTTTCAGTGACCACCAATCTATTTAAAGGAGTGATTTTCACTGACCATCAATGTGCAAAATTGGGCATTTTTCACTGGCCCTTAATATAAAGGCCCTGTAAGTTCTAGGTATGCTGTTTTATTGTATGTTTGACTATTTCAGAAATACTAAAGCAGAAATAATACAGAAATTCAGAAGTAGACACAATGTAAAAAGAGGAATTAATTCTACAACCGATGTTACAGTTTTTTATACGCTAGTTTCATCTGGTTTTCATGTATGATGACATGATCTAGATTAGCAATGAATATTAAGTATATGAACAAAACACACTGAAATATATTAATTAAAGAGGAACCAAATTCCCTCAATGTTTTTGCCCCTATTACCTGTATTATGGGGTTCTCTTTCAATCACATGCTTACTCATCCAGCAAGTCCAGCATTGCCTTTTGTTATATTCAGATGACATAGCCTGGGTTCACTGCCACCAGTCCTCCTAACTGAGACTTCAGGAAGTCAGTCCCAATTTACACACACTGGGTCTGCCCTCTGGCTGCCTCCTTGGAGATGTGCCATGATATCTCAGGAGGGTGCAGGGCAGGGGCGGATTGACCATTTGAGCACTCGGGCAGTGCCCGAGGGCCCAGGGTCAGTAGGGGGCCCCATGAGATGCCCCTGGTACCTTTCATAGGCTTTTTGGGTGTGGTTTGAGTGTGGGCGAGGACACAGGGACCCCATGAGACCCTCTTGCCCGGGGGCCCCATGAGTTATCAGTCTGCCCCTGGTGCAGGGCCATTAAAAAATACCTGTTTCTGATTGTGGAGAAGGGGAGGGTTGGGAAGGGAACAAACTCCCTTTAGGGAGTGAAAGCCCACATTAAAGTACTAAAAAAAAAAAACGTGTTCATAAATCCACTAACAGTATATCAGATTTGATGTTTAGCATATTGATGGGTCATGCATAGAGCAAACAATACTTTTAAATGAGAAATGCATGTAATGCCAGCTATACATGAATCAAAATTCAACTGGTTCAGCAGGGACTATCTGAATTTCTATCCATGTATGGGCAGGCTGCCTGTACCAAGTTGATCCATCAATCGACTTGGGTACAACCAGTCTGTCGGATGTTCCAGCATGCGATTACTGCGAGCGGCACCAAACCACATGGTGCTGCGGCATCATGCATTTTGATGCACATGATTATCTGTTCTGCTTTCCCTTGTGACACCTACAGAGACAGCAGGGGGACATTGTTCCCCTTTGGACATCCCCGAGGTGACGAGGCACCACCTGCTTTGTGTAGTAGAAGCTACAGTTGCTTATAAGGGGAGCATTGCAATTTAAGAGTGCCATAATGTGCAAATAGGCTGAACTGAAATGGCATTCTTCTGGGAGTGCACATGCTTTAATAAACCTGCAAACTTATCTTCTTCATTTGGACGTGGAATCATATGGTTTATCCCAAAGAGGAAGCGTATACATGAGCTGTGGCAAGTACTTTACATGTATTATATCAGACTCTTCCCTGGGTCCACTTTCCCCCAGCATTAATAGGTTTGCAGTCTTTTCCTCTGCTGCCATCTTCTCTGCTGCTTCTTCCAGACCAATGTCTTGGTCCTCAGATCAGAGTTACATTGTCCTGGCACACGGCTTCAACATTGGGACTGGGCGGGTGGCCTTTGGGTGAAATGGGAAAAGGAAAATGTTTCTTTTTTTGTAGTCATGAGGATTGTGATAACTGATTTTTGTAATATTGAAATATTGAAACTAATAAACATATTCTGTGATAATCTAACATGAAAATTGAAGTCTCTCTCTTCAGAAAAAAAAAAACAACAGTATCTAAGAGAACAGAATATAAGGAGGGATTCCTAGTAATAACAGCTCAGTATAGTTTACTGCAAACAGAGTTGCTTGAAGTTCCCTGGGGGGCAACATGTCTCTAACATGGAGACTGTAGCTGTTAGCCCAGGAGGTTGATCACAGAGCTCTGTGGACAGGCTATTCAGAGGGAAGGTGGGGAGGTGGAAGGAGTCTCTGATCTGGATGTCCAGGTAGCAGCAGAAATCTCAGGGATAAGTGTATACAATGGCAGTTGAAGATACAGGGCCACCCCACTGGAAAGGCTGTATTCTGTAACCAACTTGCACAATGTGCACCACATTGACTGGGGCTTAAAATGAAGTTGCAAGCTCTTGCAATCTCATGCAGTGGTCTGCATGCTGGGTACAATGAAGGAAGACTACAACCTGGTGACACATAACGGGCTCACCCACTGTAATCCAATCAGTCAGTCTTTCTGAGCACCTGAGGATGGGAAACATTTTTATCCCCTAAGAATGTCCAAGAGTCCTGGGTATTGACGGAGGCCAGCAGATTGTGGAAAAATGAATTAAATAGTCCTGCACCCACTGCTGAACAAGGTGGGTGAAGAGGGACTTCCCATCTTCCTCTTCCTCTCCTGTTAGTGTTTGCTTTTCCTGTCGGCTTAGAAAATCCCATTTTCAATCTGAATAGTTTTAGGTTGATGTCACCAACAGAATGCTTCCACACTTTCCTAGTTTAATTTATTATAAAATTATCAATGCGCATTTGTTACCATGGGAAAAAAATGTGTAGTACTTGCATTGTTACATTATTGTATATAGAGATCATGCAGGCATCAATAAAAAATTGCATTCTAGTAAGATTTCCATTAATGTTTTATTTAGCTGTTCTATATGGGATGCATTACAGATTCTGATGATATTTTTATGCTTTTTGACAGCAAAAATGCTGGATTCAGCACTGCACTGCCAAATGTATGTTTCTATATGCAAAGCCATACGTACCATCCAGGGGCGGACTGACCATTTGGAAACTCAGGAACTGCCCGAGGGCCCAGGGTAAGTAAGGGGCGCCATGAGATGCCCCTGGTACCTTTTTCATAGGCTTTTTAGAGTTTGGGCAAGGACACAGGGGCCCCATGATCCCCTATTACCCGGGGGCCCCATGAGTTGTCAGTCCACCGCTGGTACCATCACATGTCTAAAGATTATTGTCTTTATATATTTCCTTTTCCTTTCTTCCCACTAGTTTATGGGCAGATATTTTTACCTTCATTAGAGAGAAAAAAGTATTGCAGATGGGGTTTTTTTCTAATTAAAGGAATTGTGACAGGCTGAATACACAATTAAATCATTTTTTTTTTACCAATGAGGTTGGTGTGATACAAAGAGAACATAGAAAGTATATGGCTACCCGGACAGAACAGAAATATTTTCAATGGTTTATCTACATAATTTTATTTTGCATTGTATCAAAGTAGATTAGAAGGGAGACAAGCTCACAATGAACAGGTTGCATGTAACCAGACCCCCAAATATATCCTGCCATTTAAAAACCTGGTTGTTTCTTTAATCTGCTATCACATTGGAATGTCTTTTTTTTATGTCTAGTTTTCTAATGCACTTTGTTTATACATTATTGCAATTCATTTGATAATGTAATATAATCTGGTTGTTGCTTAAAGGATAAGTTCACGCTTCCACAAAAAATAACAAATGTACCTTTTTTTGCAGGTAAAAAAAATTAGCATTTATTATTCTTTGTGTTAGGATCCTGTAAAGCATTGCACCATCGATCAGCAGAAAACGAGTGGAACATGTAACATGTTCCCAAAGGTAAACGCATTTTTTAAACCTTTCTTTGAATCGACTGGCTAACCTTTTTTCCATTTTTATAAGGGTTCTAACCCCTGACATAAATAAATAAAAAGTGCTGCACAACAATCTTTTTTGGTCAGTTTTTCTTACTAAATAATAGTGAATCCACAACATATGTACAAATAGAAATAACAACCAAAAACTGAAATACTATATACAGTATACTGTATATCCTCTACAGCAATAACTCAATTTAGTCCTTGAGGATTTATTAAAAACTGGAGCAGCTGTGCATGATAGCCAATCAACTTCTAACCTCAGCTTGCTCAGTTAAGCTTTGACAAGATGGAAGCTGATTGGTTTCTGTGCAGAGTTTAACCAGATTTTGCACTCTCCAGTTTTAGTAAATAACCCCCATAGTGTCCAACTTTTAATGCCTAAAGTGTTACTAAATTCACAACAGTAAAATCAGTCTGTATATGCAGTAACGCATGCTTGTTATACTCACTGTGGAACCTAAGGGATTAATCCTCTGCATTGTGTAAAAATTCTGTTTGATCCTGATTTCTCGAATCATCTTCTTCTTCCAGTGTCCCCCTCTTATCTCCTGATAAGACATATCGTGTGGAGTCACTCTGCACATGCTCAGTTTGGGGTGTATTGCTAAAGAGTTTTTTTCTTTCTTGGAGAATGCATGTGATCAGCACAGAGCCAATCAGCACTGTCCAGACAGAGGTCAGAGGTCCTGCATCCTCCTAGAGCAAAATGAAAACTCTCCCTACAAGTTTTAACCAGTGCTCAGCTGGACACTAATAGAAGTCTCAAGACTGCTCTAACTGCTGATGAGAAAAGGTATTTAGTAGTTTGTATTTACTAAAATAACTGCACTCCCATGTTCTGTGTTCTGTGTACTGTGAGAGAGCAGATATAGTGAATGCAGGGCCATGGGTTTAGTAAAACTTTAAATGACATATAAATGAGTGATCGTGTGCAAGCTCCACGTGTGGAATTGCATTAGGGCAGATTTCCCATAGCAATCACGTCACCAATATTGATATATTATTGTGTATAAATTAATGCATGCTTCACATAAATGTCATCAAATGTAGGTCCTTTCAAATTATTTTTACATAGGTGTCTTCATTACTCCTTCACATTCAATAGCGCCCAGTGAGTTCCACCACCTTCACAATGTGCAATCATCTCAGCAAATTGACCTGTTGAATACAAATAGGTTACCGTGTGCTTTCCCCTTTAGGGGTCTAATCCTAGGTAACTGCGGATCTTCCCTCCTGCTATTCTCTTCAGTAATCTCTGAACAGGTCACCACATACAAGACTCTCTCCACTGGCTCCAGCAAGCCTTCAGAACGTGGGGGGAAACTGGAGTAACCTCTCCCCAACGCTCTTCTCTCATCATTTTCTTACTAGCTTTTTGCCATCTATGTCCAATTGGGGAGATTTCCCTTAATTTTGTGTCCCATAGTCAAAAGAGGAAGTGAGAGGAAATCCCTCAAAAGTGAGAGAATCCCTGGTTGTCACTAGAACAAGTGTCCCTATTGGAAGATTTTCCCTTTGTTACTGTCCTAGGACAACCCAAATTGTGTGATTTTCTTTTGCTTTCAGTGATAATAGTAGACATGGCAAATAGAGAGGGTGAGAATCCTTAATGGGGGAACAGACCACAATAAAAACTTGACTGGTGTTCTAATCCCTCTCTGCTTTACCCAAATTAAAGACAAGTTTTTGCCTTTAGATACAAATTAATATGTGCATCTACTTTATTCATCTTCCTTTGTTTTGTCTTTAAAAGGAAGGTAAGTAATTTCCTTCCACTATTATTGAAGAAACTGATCTATTCTTCCAATGATTCTTTATTTTGGAGTCCATCCTTTGGTTGTACTTCCTACCGCAAGCTTCTGGGAACAATGCCTTCTTTAACTCATTTATCCAGAGTGACTGTGCAGTGTCCTACTGTGAATGCAGTTTCTTATCCATGTTCTGTCCTAATTTTTTAAAAGCACTACTTAGATCTCCTTTTTTTGTTTTATAATCTGTAGTGGAACATACTTCATTCAGCTATACTGAACATTGGTCTACTGTATATATCCAAAGATATATACAGATATCCATAACCATAGAAGGAGGGTAGTTTATTGTCTAGATATGTATTATATTTCAAACTTCTGCACGACCACTATATGCCCTTAAAATCACTTACAATCTGTTGCACACACCATTGAAATCATATAATATAATCAGTGCTGCGCTATAATAACTCTCTACCTCTGTGTGAATATACACAAAAAAGTACTTCAACACATATACACACAAGTGTAATCCTAACACTCTAATAATCTTCCACTTACTTGCTGAATTTCATGTACTCAGCATAAATGAGTACACCCCTTTTGAAAAGTAGGATTTGAATCAATATCTCAATGAACACAAGAACAATTTCCAAAGTCTTGACAAAATTGAGTTTTAAAGAACATTTATTTAGCTCATTATATGAAAGTAAGGTTAATAATATAATTTAGATTACAAAATGTTCAGTTTCACTCAAATTAGTTGGTGCAAAAATGAATACACTCCACAACAAAAACTACTACATCTGGTATTTTGTATGACCTCCATAATTTTGTAAGGACAGCATCAAGTCTTCTAGGCCTAGAATGAACAAATTGGCGACATATTGCAACATCGGTCTTTTTCCATTCTTCAAGAATAACCTTTTTTAGAGCCTGGATGCTGGATAGAGAGTGATGCTCAACTTGTCTCTTCAAAATTCCCTATAGGTGTTCGATTGGGTTCAGATCAGGAGACATACTTGGCCACTGAATCACTTTCTCCCTGTTCTTCTTCAGAAATGCAGCAGTGGCCTTAGAGGTGTGTTTTGGATCACTGTCATATTGGAAAAGTGCACAACGACCAAGGGCACAGAATGATGGTAGTATTTTTTTCTTTCAATGTAAAGCAGTGCATCTGTGAATTGATGATACCATTAATGAAATGCAGCTCCCCGACACCAGCAGAACTCATGCAGCCCCACAGAAGGACACTGCCACTATCATGTTTCACTGTAAGCACCATGCATTTTTCTTTGTACACCTCACCTTTGTGACACCGTACAGTTTTGAAGCCATCAGTTCCAAAAACATTTATCTTGGTCTCATCACTCCAGACTAGAGTCCCAATAGTCTTCTTCTTTTTCAGCATGGACCCTGGCATATTCTAGTCGGGCTTTTTTTTTTGCATGGGCTTTAGGAGAAGCTTCCTTTGTGGACGACACCATGCATGCCATTCCTCTGCAGTGTACACCGTATTGTGTCCCGGGAAACAGTCACCCCAGTTTGGCTTTCTACTTCTTTAACTAACTGCAGTGAACTTGCATGGTGTTTTTCTTCAACCCTTCGCATGAGAAGATGCTCCCGTCAAGGTGTTCACTTCCGTGGACAACCTGGACATATCTGTGAGATGGTTTCAGTACCATCTTTGTTACATTTTTGTATCACTTTTGCTACGGTATTCTGACTGATAAGTAAAGCTTTTCTGATCTTCTTGTAGCCTTCACCTTTCTTGTGTAAATAAATTATTTTCTTTCATTCTTGTGACATTTCTCTTCCATGTGGTACCATTGCTATCATTGCTGACAGCATGAAATGGGAGGGGTTTTCTTTGTTAAGCAATGCCCTTTTATAATCAACTGTCTGCTGGACACCTGCTTAATGAATAATTAGACTCACCTGTAGTGAATTCTTGTTCATTAGGATTTTGTTGTCTAAAATTTAGCTTTGCTCCCAAGACTTTGATTGGGGTGTATTCATTTTTGCAACATGTTCTTGAATGAATTTGTTAGGAAAAACACTTTTTTGTGTTTGCAAATTAACAAATCTTGTTTTCAATCAATGGCCCGCATTTTGTGGGAGTATTTTGTAGCATATTGTCCCATAAAAAATTTGATTCTGAAAGGAAAGTAAAGGTTTTTGATCAATATGTTGATTTTCAACTCAATGGCAAATATGTTGGGGTTATTTATGCTGAGCATTGTATATATATATATATATATATATTGATTCATACAGTTGCAATATGTGAACCCCTTGGGATTACGTGGAGTTTGCACGAATTGGGCATAAAATGTTCTGAACGTCATCTAAGTCACAACAATAGAAGAACACAGTCTGCTGAACATAATACTACACAAACAAAAAGTGGTTTTTCTGATCAATCCTCTTCACAAAACTGTTTCAGTGTAGTTATTCTTGGGATGGGGTCATGCCACAGCATTTCAATCGGGTTGAGGTCAGGACTCTGACTGGGGCCACTCCAGAAGGCGTATTCTGTGCTGTTGCAGCCATTGTCTATGCTTTGGGTCATTGTCCTGTTGCATCATTTGATAAACTCTGGAATTCATTTTCCCATCAATGACAACAATATCCTCCCAATGTACTCCATTCTTGTTTATTCCTTATTGTAGATGTGTCATAAAATGTTAGCATGTGCCAGAGATTTCTGTAGGTCTTTAGCTGACACCCTGGGATTCTTCTTTACCTCATGCAGCATTCTGCGCTGTGCTCTTGCAGTATTTTTATGCTAGGGAGAGTAGCAACAGTGCTAAGCTTTCTCCATATATTATATATATATATTTTGTAACCCTATTATATATATATATCGTATATCTGACACTTCAAATTATTCCATGCTGCTTCAATGCATATGTATTCATACCAAAAGTGCTAGCGTTATAATAAAATGGTATATAGTCTTTCACAAATACCTTATATATTGTATATCCAGTTCCTGTAATCATTCTTATAGCATCAACTAACTCTAAAGTAACTCTTGTGATTTTACTGCATGCACAGCACACAGTGGTGTATTTAGGTTTTGTGCTGCCCTAGGCAACACTAAAACCTTCTGCCCCCAAGGACACTGACCAACACCCCCCCCCCGCAGAGAGAGAGCCTGACACTGACCAACAACATCCCTGCCCCCCACCCGGGAGACCCTTCCACTACCCCCTCCCCCCCCCTCCCCCCGGCGATAGAGAGGAAAACACTCATCTTCAAAGCTTTGGACATCCCCGGGAACAAGAGTCAGGCTCTACATACACAGAAAGGGCCTTTTATGAATAAGTCAGGTGACGAAATGCGTCAAAGGGAAGTGACGTCAGGACGCACAGCACAACCAGAAGTTGTCGGATGGCCATCTTTGATCCTGGAATCCTCACACACAGACACAGGAAAGAGCGCTCCTGAGGATCTACAGAGGGTCTGGCTGTGCTTTTTTTTGTTTTTTTTTTTTGGTTTCATTTATTTTATTTATTCTATCTACTGCTAAATTATGAACTTACATTATTAAAGTATACCTAGATGATGAACATTGTACTGCTGAATTCTGGTGTTTATACTCTGGGATAAGCGCTTGCAGATAAGCATTGTTGGAAGTATCCTTAGAGATTATACCATCATAGCCTGGTCAGTGGCAATTAGTGAGCTGGTGTATGGATGGAGGATCTGTGTCCTATTGTCTGGATTTACAAAGTGGTCTCTTGATTGAGATCTATATGCTGGTATTTTCTAAATTTCTGGTAATAGTAAATTATCCATTAGATGTGGACACCCTCACGATTTGACACTGCATGCAAGTGTTACCCTTAAAAAATATTTTTTACGCATGTTGTTCACACTTATA